CCCAACAATAGTGCTACCGTACCTTTGTTGATGCTTGTCTCATCTTATTTTGATTATTCCAATTAGTCAAGAATTGTGCCTCCTGTTTACTCTTTAATACTCCTTCCAATGCAGCATATCTTAGCTGTCTTGTAACTTTAGTCATCTTTTAATCAAGTTCTGTATTAAATTTAATATCCTACTTTTGCTATTGAAGGGACATCAAAACCCACCTCATAGAAATTACCTACAGGATTCCCGTGTGTCCTTGAAGATACTTAAAAATTTTTGAGTTTTAAAAAATAATCTCAAGGTCCTGGAAAGTTTTAGTAAAAGGCCATATAAAGATGCCTACCTTGAAAGTCCTTAGATGCGTTTTGGGATATTTATTTTTTGCTTGATGGATGTAAATTTTTGTGTTAATATAGTCATCATTTAAGTACAGTTAATCAGCTGCATCCATGTGCAATGTTCTTGTCACTATAACTTAAAAGAATGAAAGTCACTACCTGTTTTCTTAACCATCGCTAGAAGTCGTTAGATAATGCCATGACCTGATTTGCATATTTGGTAATGCATTGATCCATTTGTAGGAGACAGTGTTATCAATATTGACGAGGCTGAAGGTGATTAAAAAGGCTTTAAATACATTATAAACAAAAGTATAACCATAACTTTTTAATATATATATCTAGATGAGGATCAGTGCCTCCAAATCTGAGACCATGGTCTTGAGCCGGAAAAGGGTAGAGTGCCTTCTCCGGTTTGGGGAGGATGTACCACCCTTAGTGGAGGAGTTTAAGTATCTTTAGGTCTTGTTCACAAATGAGGGGAAGATGGAGCGGGAGATCAATAGGCGGATTGGTGCAGCGTCTGCTGTGAAGCATGCTCTGTACCGGATATTGTGGTGAAGAGAGAGCTGAGCCAAAAAGCAAAGCTCTTGATTTACCTGTTAATCTTCGTTCCTACCCTCATCTATGGTCATGAGCTTTGAGTCATGACCGAAAGAACGAGACCACGGATGCAAGCGGTTAAAATTTGTTTTCTCCGTAGTGTGACTGGGCTCTCCCTTAGAGATAGGGTGAGGAGCTCCGTCATCTGGGGAGGACTCGGAGTATCAGAGTAGAGCCGCTGCTCCTCCACATCGAGAGGAGCCAGTTGAGGTGGCTCGGGAATCTGATTAGGATGCCTCCGGGACGTCTCCCTGGTGAGGTGTTCCAGGCACGTCCTACTGGGAGTAGGAGCAGGGGGAGGCCCAGGACACGCTGGAGGAACTATTTCTCGGCTGGCCAGGGAGCGCCTTGGGATACCCCCGGAGGAGCTGGCCCAAGTGGCTGGGGAGAGGGATGTCTGGGCCTCGATGTATGGATGGATGTATGGATGGATGGATGGATGGATGGGTGAAATCTGGAGACAATTTGCTCTTCTCTTTTAACGCAGACGTGCTGCTTGCTGCCCGAGTCTACCCGTCAGTGTTGTGGAGAACTTTGCAGAAGGATTCACTGCTCACGGAAGATAGTAAATTAAGACTGACCTTATAAATTAATGTGTGAAGGTTATGTAAATGTAAACTTTTACTACATCCAGAGGGGTTTTCCAAATCTGAAAATCAACCACACTGCAAAAACAATCTGAAATCAAGTAAAAAAAATCTTAAATCAAGTGTATTTACCCTTAATTTGAGCAGGTAAATAAGATAGTTTGCCAATGGGATGAGTATTTTTACACTTAAAATAAGATAACTAGATAAAATGCACTTGAAATAAGACAATGCAATTGTTTTTTCTTATTTCAAATGTAAATTGTCTTGTTCCATTGGCAAAGTGTCTTATTTATCTACTGAAATCAGGATAAAATGCACTTATTTTAAGAAAAAATTACTTATTTAGATTTACATTTTTTGCAGTGCAAGGCTGGAATTTTGGCATATGCAGTCCTCAAAAAAAATGAAGGGAACAATTTAATAACACATCATAGATCTGAATGAATTAAATGTTCTCATAGAATACTTTGTCCTGTACAAAGCTTAATGTGCTGACAATAAAATTATGCAAAATCTTTAATGGATATCAAATTTATTAACCAATGGAGGCCTAAATTTGGAGTAACTCACAAAATTAAATTTGAAAAACACTACAGACTGATCCAACTTTAATAGAATATCTTTAAAACAGGTCAAAATGAAGCTCAGAATTGTGTAGGGCCTCCACTTGCCTTTATGTCCTCCCTACAACACGGGCATGCTCCTGATGAGCTGGTGGATTGTGTCCTCAGGGGTCTCTTCCCAGACCTTGACTAAAGCCGCCGCCAACCCCTGGACAGTCTGTGGTGCAACATGACATTGGTAGTTGGATTGAGACATGATGAACTCAATTGGATTGAGGTCTTGGAAACGGGCAGGTCAGTCCATAGCTTTAATGTTCCTCTTGCAGGAACTATTGACACACTCCAGCCACATGAGGGCTAGCATTGCCCTGTATTAGAAGGAACCCAGGGCTATGCGACCCTCCAAAGACCACCCCACACCATTACTAACCCATTGCCAAAGCAGTCGTGCTAAAGGATGCTGCAGGCAGCAGTCCACTCTCCATGGTGTCTCATGACTTGATGCCTGATGATGTGTACTACAGATCAAGCACAGCCACCTGTCACCTCTTCCCCGCTCTTTTGCACTTTTTTCATCTGCTCTCCCTAAGCCTCAGAATCCCACCTTTCCTTACCTCTGTTACATTATGAGGATGATCCTACTCTGAAGCTTGAGGGTTTCAGGTCCTCTCTATTCTGAAGATCCTGGATTACCAAAACTAAGAGCATCTCTGGAGAATCTGGTTGATCCAGAAATGCCAGCACCGCTGTTTAACTTTCCATAATGAATAAAGCACTGCGACTCACTTGGTAATTTCCAGGTCTGCCATGTTGAGTTAAAACAGGCAACCAATAGATAGAAGCTCCTTCTATTTGATCACATAAATAAAAGGAGCTTTTGTTTCCTGCTTGCTGATTGAAGCAGATAAAAACTCTTTCCATTTGATGACACAAATAGAAAGAGCTTCTATCTTCTGCTTGCTGATTGAAGCAGGTAGAAGCAGATAGAAACTCCTTGTATTTGATGACACAATAAAGTGACAGGAGTGGAGCTTGTCAACCACCATATAAATTGCTGTTCCCCTCCATGCGAATTGCTGGGCTGAGTGAGGCGAGTGACAGCACACAAATGTGGTGAGTTTCTCCCCTGGAGTCCCGTTTGGTTTGAACACACCATCAATTAGGGAAGCACAGGGGGAGGGGTAGTGATACTACACCTGCTCACAACCTGAACACTCTCTTTGATGAGATTTAAAACACTTATACTGCAGAAGCGTTATTTAGCAGTTATGAAACTGTGACCTTTTCATACCTTAAAACCGATAACTAGCCCATCCCTATTATATATATATATGCATTTAGGCTATGAATGTTATCAGTTTGAGAGTAAGCACTATATTCAATCCACTTTTTTGCTGAATTTGCAACCTCTATGCCGTTAGAATAAGTATTCTCCCATAAACGTATCAACATTTTTGAAATATTAGTTTAAAACCCTCAGGCACAATTAAAACATGTTGCTCTATGCCCCCAGTACAATCAGGTTAATTAGTGATGTTTGACAGAGCAGTAAATTGAGGTTTGCATGGCTGTCACACGACTGTGGTTTACTGTCACCCTCTTGTTGAAGGAGATATGATAAAAAAAACAAAAAAAAAAACATCCGTCCTTCCTTTAAATAAATTGCCATCAGAACAGGGCCATATAATTTCTTTTTTAATTTCATATGTGCCGTCTGTTTCTGAGAAATTATTCACATCGATGATGACAACCTGTACAGTGGAATGTATTTTGTAGTTTAAGAGATTTTATAGGGCTAGTTATCTGATATTGTGTCATGTTCTTACATTTTTCTGAACTAAAAACACTATTTCTTTTTTTTTTCTGGAGGCATCTTCTTTCTTCGGGTAGAAAGTGATTTCATACGAGGAGTGTCTGATGAGATGAGACAGAAACCTTGTGGCCATTACTAATGCTACTGAGTCCAATTAAGCTGATGTAGCCTCTGAATCAAATAACCCTGATATGATCTTGTCTGCCCATGCATAAATTTCCTTGTTACTCTGATTACTGGGGGGTAAAGAAACAAGGCCTCTCACAAATCATTGCTGTGACTATATCTGTATAGGTGTTAAAATTATTGTTTCCATGTCTCATTTTGAGCATGTCAAAACATCCAAGATTTGAATATGAGGAGAGGTAGGAAACGTGCCTGGAGTAGAAATAAATTGCAAGTGGATGAAATAATTTAATTATTTTTTTTTTTTAGTTTGAAAATTGATAATCTTTTTACAAGCTGGTTGGAGTCACTATCATCAAAATGTTGGGGTACCTTTTTAACACCGTGTTACATCCTATAAGGGGGAATTTATGACTTAGTTAAGGTCTGTGAAGCCTCCAACAGCCCACCAGTAAAATGATTGTTAGTCTAGAGGAAGTCATAAATCAAACCCGGTTTATCATTATCTATTAATACTGTGCCGCTCTTGCTCTGGATGGAGCCTGTGCATTCTCGCCTTCTCTCAGGACTGAACGATCTTGTCTGAAAGGCGAAGGTGAAAGCAGTTTGTCAAAGTTTTGATAGCTGGTGATTGATTTAGTCATCGCTCCATGGCCTGCAGCTTGTGCTGACAGCTCTGAAGGTGGAACAGTGCCTTAATTGAGCTGAATACTTGGAGCTTAAATGATGTAGGCACAAAACCCACACAATTAGGGAAGGACTAATGACGTGGAGTATTGCCCATTATTTCAGCAAATAAGCCATAGGGGATTCAATACTTTGTATCATTAATTCTTCATTAGTGATAAGGAAGAGGAGCTTCAGCATAAAACCTGCATTTTCACATAACCCAGTTTTATGTTGTTAAAGCTGGATTTATGGAGGTTATTATTGCAGATGGTTTTCTTAATTATTAAAAGGCTTGTTTCGTTTCTTTTCAGAATCATGAAGGCATGCATGTCCCAAGCAGCAATAAACTGGGTAAGTCTTATTTGTTCAAATACTAAGCCTTAATTAGTACTTTACCATAGTGTTAACTAGATGAAAATATTACATGTAAGTAAATTACTTGGAAAAGAAAAAAATAAATAAAAGGGTAACACATCTGAATTTTTCTGCAGGAAATCTGTCTTGGGCTAATATGAATACCAGGATAATAAGGATAGTGTTAGAACCACAATATCCTGTTAGAGAACTGCAGACTTAACCTTTTTGTTAGCTGGAACTTTTTGCTTCAGTCCCTTCATTAAGCCCTCAAATACCTTCTTGGGACAGCCTGGGTACACTTTGAGCTTGATGCTTCACATAATAATACTCTGTCAAGCTTACAACTAGACATCTAAGATTTTATTTTTTTATTGCTTTCAACAGAAGTCTAAGTCATTTAAAGTTGGGCACATGAGGTCTGAGTCAAAAAATTTTTTTTAATTAAATATATTTTGAATCTTCAAAGCACAGCTCAATATTTTGTTAAAACACAGCTTTTTATCAGTATTACACCAACTCATCAACATTTAGAATGTCCCCTTCTCTCCTATGGATTTTCTTAAACAAGCCAAATATTTCTGGGTACAATCATACTATGCTCCATCACGGGTTTAACTAAAGAGAAAGACAAAGACTGGGCTTAGGGAGTTTCTTTAGGTCCTGAAAATAATATGCATATCATTAGTCTCACACATGTTTTAATTGTTGTAAATTGCTAAGACTCAACAGTTTTTGTATGCTAAAAAGTAGAAGCAGTAGGTAAACCATTACTAAGTGACTTAACGTTGATCAAATATTTTCATAATTTTTGTGATTATATGTCGACTTGCAACTAGTTTAATATCACCTCTGTCATGGCCTTGCACAAATTGCATGAATATACCGTCTCTCGGTGAAGTTAAGTTGCATTGACTTCCATCTTTACTACGAATGAGGCAAGGGACATAAGCCATACAGCAGTCTGCACATTTGTAGTTTCTTGCAGGGTTACTGCACCCTCCTCAAAGTTGCTTAGTGGCGGTGGAAGCCATACAGTCCACTTGGGATCATAACAGAGGTGTCTTTCAACTAGTTGTAAGTCATGTTTAATGAAATTAGTTATGAAAATACTTTTTTAAGGTAGAAAAGTTATTTGGTGTTGGTTAAAACTTGAATGTATTGGGTCTCTATGATCGTTTATAACTGGGCATGGATTTTAGATAAGATTTTACTTAAAGAGAAAAACAAACTAATAAGTGCATTAAAATCAGATATTTTTTGCATATGGAAGTTTCTAAATTTAGTCATACTGTTCTACTGTATAACTGCTAGTGTATAAATTAGGCAGCATATCTGTTGCATAAATAGTGTGTGCAATGTGTGAGAGCACTGTAACAGACAGAAAGAGGTGGAATGCAGATATGTCTTTTTTAGTGACTTGTGGCAGAGTGACACTAAGAGAAGGATTTTCAGGATAAAAATAGAGAGGAATGGCAAGTGGCGGAGTTCTTTCCTGTTAGGAAAAACTTCAAATTAGTCACTGCATTAAAGTGTCACTATCTCTGAAAGCTGAGGTTGGTCTTTAAAATGGTCTTCAACGTTCTCTTATTGGGTATTTCTCAAGTGAACTTGGAATTTTATGATATTTGTTTAATATTTTATACATCCACCTATGATACTTTTACATTAAAGCTAAATTTAAATATATAGCCTAATACGATAAAATAGCCCAATGTGCACGTATCAGATTAAATTACTTGTTTTAACAATTAACTTGAACTGCAGTGACATTGAAAAAATTATTTATTTACACATTACCCACCTTAGGGTAATGTGTAAATGGTATTAGCATGCTCATCATGTTTCTCTACAGCTGCCAAGTATCTGCAAATAAACACAAAGTCTTTTAACTCCATACCACCACAAAATCATGCATTGTTTCATGTTTAATTGTTTCCACATCATTCGCTTTTCTGTAATTGCCTAAAAGGAAAATGCACTTTTAGGTACTATCATTTCAGCTGTATAATTATAACAGCTCTTGAAGGCTGTGCAGGGATCATGTAAATACCTTGAGAATAAAACAAAAGTAAAACTTTTGCTTTAGTATATGTCTTGACTCCCTTTGTTAAACATACTTGTTTGGCATCATCACCAGCCTTAAATTGCACAAAAATATTAACAGAATTATAATCTCTGATTATAAGACAATTGAGAAACTTTAAGATGACAATGAATCTCTGTGTTCTTGGGCTCCATGCTTTGATTTCCTCACAGAGAATCAATGATGATGAGGATAGTGAGGGATCAATTAGCCCAGAGCTAAACAGAAGGACTGAAATAGAGCTGGGACCACAGTCCTAAAGAAGACCATCTGTAACACACTACTCTTCCCCGGACTGAAATCCTGCCACACATCCAAATTCTCCCTGTTCAAGTTAGTGCATGGAGCCTCGTAGAGAATAATGGGGACCCTTAAATAAATAAATATCCAAAATTAAACTTCCATTCCCACTACTCAATAACAAAAAAGAATGGTCCTTTCTGGTTGTTCATATCAGGATTTTAATATCTGTGCTTTCAACTTATCACAGTCTCAGTTAGCCTGTGAGAACTTGATATATAACTAAAAAGATTGTAAGAATTTGAAATTTGACATCAGTATCCGCTGCTATAAGGAATTTGTTTTCTTGTTTATATTAACAGAGTTTTTAAAGTATGTGCTTTAATGCAAAACATTTTGGTTTGGTCATAAAGAAAATCACTGAATTCAAAGAAAGACCATCGCTGTGTCCGAACGTCTGCTCTAACCCTTAAATCACTCAATTACTATATAGAACGGAGTGGATTTCATAGTGAAGATGATTATCACTGCTTTTTGCTCCCTATTGGTCACGTTACTCCGCCTTCCCGCATGGTGTCTGTGCCATCTTTGTTATTTACCACCAAGAGAACAAATCCAATGATTCTTTGTGAGGAGAGGTGTCACCAAGCAATCTGGGATATATTTGCTCGTCTAGTGTCAGCTACGTATTCATCCACTAGACGTTCGGACACTCATTTAAAATGACATAACCACTATATAGTGCCCTATACAGTGATCTGGGTGGACATTCAGACACACCCTATGTGACATTTGAATGGTAAACATCACACCATGAAAATTATAATACAAGTCTTTTACCTTAATCCTTATTTGAAATGTTTTTCTTAGGGTTTCTTTAACTTTTCACATATAAATCTCTTTCAGCCTTGACTAGACACAAGAAGGAATTTTACAAATGGAGGAAATAAAAAAGATCTCATGGCATACCAATTATGTTTTAGGAGCCCCACAGAATCACCAGAAAAACCTTTTGTTTTCTGAACCACTGCCCATTCCTTCAACTAGGTCACAGCAGAGACAAAAGCAACTTCTTAAGTCTCTCATTTGGCACCTCAGCACAGAGAGGAAATACAAACAGCCTGGCATCTGAAAGCTGGAGCTACAATTTCTTACACTTTCATAGATACTTTATTTGTTATAGGGCAGAAAAATCCTGCTGAGATTGTTTTTTATGTGATAAGACTAAAATAAAGGCAAAATTCCCTTTGACTCACAGTATCACTATCCAATGAAATACCCAACTTGTTTGTTATAGAAGAGGCTGTGTTTAACAAGACACTATGGCACTTTTTTTTCTTCAATAAACTCTCTCCACTAGAAAGACAATACTTTAAGTTTTTTCACATACATAAACTTATTTACACAAGTAACTTGGATATTGCATCAAGCTGGCATAATTATAAGAATTTCCTGATTTTTGCTGTCAGCAGAAATAGTTTAATATTAAAAACATGCTTAATAGTTATTGTGCGCAGTGTCATCATACTTCCACTCATAGAAGCAACAATTTAGTTTTCCTTTACCATTATTGTTGTATTCATATTTTTTAAGTAATTCCCTTAATCATGTATTGATTCTTGCACCAAAACAAACAGAAAGACTTCTATATATTATCTTTTTCAAATACCTATTATTGCTTCAGAATGTGAGCCTCCTTTGTCTTAGTGGCATTATCTGTGTGAATAAAGTAAATGTTAACCAAAAAACATATTGCATAAATAAAATGAAAATAAATGTAAATAATAAATAAACACTATTAATCAAAGGATAAACTTGTTTTTTTGTAAAGTTTCTTAGCTGATGTTTTAAGTCTAGGATGTTAATTTTCATCAAACAAAAAATGATTGAACACTTAAGCAATAAACGTTATATAAAATACTTTGAACTGACAATCATATATTTAACATGTACGTGTACTACAGTTATGTGGTTGATCCCAGAATTATTCAAGTTATATTGTATTTAAGATAGATTCCACGTCAACATGTATGTAAACTTTTGTAGATAATCGGTGGAATTATATTGCCACTACAAAAATCAAACCTTATACTCTGTTAAACCGCGTTTTAAATGTTTCCTATGGTTCCAGTTATATATCTATATATGATGTTAGACTAATTATTTCAAGTTGGAAAGCCCCCTTGCCATCAGCCTAATATTTGAGAGAGGATTAACTGCAAAACCAGATGGAATGAGCTGAAAAGAAACCAACCCTACACACCTCAATGGCCTTGTTACCCAAAACCTAACTCAGGAACCTTTCTACCTAACCTCACTGACCTTGTTGCTTTAATATAACCTTTAACCTTTGGAGGGTTCAAAATCTTCCACAACTTGCTGCTATGGCCCAGTGGTTGTTGATGTAAACATGCAAAAAACGTTCACTGCAAAACCAACCTAAAAATAAGTGAAAATTTGTTTAATTAAGTGTATTTTCCCTTAATTTGACTAGGAAAATAAGATAATTTGCCAATGGAATGCATATGTTTACTCTTAAAATAAGATAATTAGATGCACTTGAAATAAGACAATGCAAATGTTTTGTCTTATTCTAAATGTAAATTGTCTTGTTCCATCACTAAAGTGTCTCACTTACCTCCTAAATTCAAGAAGAAATGCACTGATTTTT